TTGGCTTATTTTCTAATTTCCAGGACAAATGCCGTCAAGAGAAACCTTGTCGTAATGGTGGTCAATGCATCTACTATGACGATATCGATGACTATCGATGTATTTGTGGTGAAGGGACCACAGGAGATCATTGTGAAAATGCTACTGGTAAAAAAAAACTAAAAAAAATAAAAAATAGAAATGTTAATTCCACCTCTTACCTTGAGTTCCCTATAAATCCCTTTCGTATAGTATAACTTTGTTTTTATCGACTCCTCAGCTTATCCTTTATACTTCTTGTACGGTGTTTTTATCTATTTCTAACTGTATATAATCTCTTATAGTTCACGGTGGTTGGAGCGGCTTCAGTTCCTGGTCAGCTTGCAGCAAGACTTGTGGCGGTGGGTCACAGACAAGAACTCGTACTTGTACCAACCCTGCACCTGCCTACGGTGGAAACAGCTGCTCTGGATCCTCGAAGGAAAGTGCTCAATGCAACACTGCGGCATGTCCAGGTATTAACTTCATGTGATATCCCATGATAGTTTTTCTTCATAATTGTCTCTCCGCTATCTTGAAAAAAAAAATATGCGATTTTCGTATTTTTCGTTTAATATGTTTAATTTAATAATAAGGGTGACTTAGAAATCAAAGCTCCTTGATCCATAAGAGCCGATTTCCAGTTTTTAATTCAGTCGTTCTCTATGKATAGCTTYGAGWTGCAGCAATCCTGTCGCTCTTGGTATGGAAAGTAAGGAAATCGCTGACGCCCAGATCACTGCGATAAACTACCTTTTACAGTACTATCCCTACACANTATAAGCACCCCTCGTTATTTTTTATATTGGGAGTCTCCTAGCTCTCTTAATTGTTGAGATTTTCAACTGAAGACACTTACTGACACTGGTCCACAGAAAAAGCGGCATTTTTTCACTATTACTATAGTACAGCCAAACTAATATTGTATACATTTGGAACTGGAACCTTTAACCTGAGAAAGAACATCTAATAAACGAAATGGATGCATATTTTTAGTTCATTGTTCCCTCGCCGGCATAGGAGTTGGTACGAGACGATGGAACTCTATACCAAATAAAATCAGGAATAGATCCAAGTTCATTTTTAAGGAAAAGATCAGTATTGTACTTGTTTCTATGTTGCAGACGGTCTGTGAGGAGGCCCTACACACCCTTTTAATAAGTCCCAAGGTATTGTGTTCTCCGCACTTGACGTCAAATTTATTCTTTTGAATTCCTTTTGTATTGTAAAAATTTCAAAAGAATAAATTTGACGTCAAGTGCGGAGAACACAATACCTCGGGACTTATTAAAAGGGTGTATATTGAGTTAGATAGAACTATAAAGATCTTTCCATCTTATGCTTTGTGATGTTTCTTATTTTTTTCTTCCTCATTTTTCCTCCTTCCCCTTGTCTTTCCTCCTTTTTATTACTTACAATTTTCTAATTATTGTGTCCCAAATTCTTATATTATTCTCAATTCGTATTTTTCAACTCTACTGTACTAATCTTTTCACCAGTGTTTATCCATTGACTCAGTTTCTATCCAATTCTATTGTAATTTATTCAAAGTGTCTAATGTATTGTACCAACACAAAAATAATCTCAAATATGTGCTGCAATAAAAGATTACAAATGTACATGTACAATGYCGTATGGTCTTCCTGTGGAATKGTCACCAGTCTTCYTCCTACTCCACATTTTGGCGGGAAAAATTCTTATTGAGCCCACAAGGTAATAATTACAGCGGTTTCTCTTCATTCATGTGATGGAATTTCTCATAAATCGACTTCAAATATAAGTTAAGTGTGGATTTACTGCATTTATAATCTAAAATGAGTACTCCTAAGAATTCAGGACAGCAAATGAATAGAACTCAAAGTAAGAGTGATGTTGTTTGGGTAGGAAAGAGCGCGATGGAAGATGGCAAAGAACATTATGAGTAAGTTCTYATCGATACTTCAGAAAAGTCAGAACGAGTGTTTTATCGATGGATTTCTCATTTTCTTTTCTAGGCAATGTATTATMAGAGGYRTTTCCGTGASCMTKCACGATTTTGTTATGATAAACACTGGTAATGTGTTCTCTATCGGACGAGTGCTAGATCTTCATGATTTGGGGCCATATCCCGATAGATACAGAGCAAAAATCCACTGGCTCTACAAACACGAAGACTTACTRCGCTTGATACCAGGTTGCCCTCTTGAAAAAAGAGCAAATGAACTATTTATACCTGCGTTTGATCCCGAAAGAAAGCCATTCAAGGGAAGTGTCGAGATTATCGACGCTGAGTCGATAGAGGATGTWTGTTCAGTCGAATTTTTGACGACACGAGACATCTTTCCTGAACACTGCACCGCTGAGGACCCTTTCTACGTTCAGTACGCTTTCGATGAARATTATAAAGTTTATTCAGCAGGGAMTTATATAGAAAGGCTTGAGAAAGCTTTAAAAAAAAGTGAAACTAGAATTCAAAATAACAAGTGTAGAACACCTAGGCTGTCTTCTTCAGGTAACTACATGTACATTGTAATATAAAGGCATCTGGCAAAGCTACACTCGTGGGGGTGCAGGAAGGGGGGCAATTAAAGAGGGTGGGAGATGTTTACAAACAACATATCCAATTCCATACTGACAAAATTGWAACAAGGAGTCAAAATACTTGAACGGTCTAAACTAGAACGGTTCCAAACGGAAACGGCCCTGTGTGAATGTAGCCTTATTCTTCATTTTCACTATATATGTCACAGCGGCCATCTTAGAGGAACTTTGAGAACAATGGATTTCTCATTAGCATCTATTGTTCATTTCTTTCGTTTTTTTCTTTTGAATTTCATGGGAATGGTTGAGAACAATCAATTTTCTATTCTGTCCTCTGATTGATAAGTCTTGGTTTGATGATCCCATCCCTGATCTCACATCCCTCCTGGTAACCCTGGAATAATTAAATATATTCGACAAATTAATATGCATTATCCTCGTATTGTCTATGTTTAATGAAAAAAAATGCTTGGGTGAAGAACAACAAAATCATGTTGAATAGGCCATTCATCACAAATRGTGAAACTTTACTACAACTACCTGAAAGCCTTGTTTATTTTCATTGTTAATCAGATTTTTATCCCTTTGGAGATTAGTATAACAATTGGYACTAATTGAATTACTAAAGAAAGTGGGCAGAGCATTCTTGTGTGTTATAGTCAATCATGTCATGATCTTATAAATATTGCTGTCCGATTCAATAGGAGACAGTAGCTGTACTGTATGGTCTTAGAAGACATTCCTCAATTATTTTACTATTTTCCACTTTAGGAAGACTTTGGAGAATTGGAACTCCAAAAGCAGAAAATCACAGCGACAGTCCATTTTCTTTAAAACCATTAAAAATAACACTGAAAGCTTGTAATAGTGGAAGCATCAAGCAAAAAACTCCATCAAGAACGAAAGCAAACAAGAGTATAGAAGACAATAAAGTTACTATACCTAATGATTCAGATGACTTTTCTAATGCAAATGCTAACATAAGGCCTGCAAAAAGGAAAGGCAGTAGAAGTGTCACTGAAAGAGATGAAACCGCATCTAACAATGTTGAGAAGAGAAAGAAGTCARCAAAGAATAAAGCAAGTAGCGTCAGCTCCGTCAAGAGGAGTGGAAAGAASCCTGCAAAGCGGAARGCAAGTAAGAGCATACCTGATGAAGGAGAGGTTGCATCCAAGAAAAGCAGAGTAAAAAGCAGTAAAAACACTCAAAACACTCCAAAAAGTAGAGGAACACCAAAGATGGTCTTGTCTCCATGCAATACTTCTTACAGTAAGAATGCTCGGAAATTAAACCTACTTATAAGCTTTTTAGAGCTCAATGATTTTTACAGTGAAAATGAAAAAAACGTGACCGCCTAGAAATATTTCGGGAATGTGTACTTGAAAAGTAATTTAAGCTGACAAATAAGAAAACATGATGAAAAACATTTAAATAGATAAACATTGTGTTTATTCTAAACAGTGAAATTTTACCTATTTGTGAGCTTTCACAGACTGTTTTTTTGGTGATAAACTAGTTTTATTTAGTTGTAATGTTGAAGTTTTCATTAAATTTKCATGTGAAAATGCACTTGATGACGGTTAATCTTGCTTCTGATTGGTCAATGAACAATAAGCATTCCCGAAATATTTATAGGTGGCCATGGTTTTTTGCACTGTAACTGTATAAAGCTTAGATATTATCAAATAAGCTCTATTAAGTACAGTGTCATATAATTATACATTATTTACTGGCAACAAGGTGCACTATTCTTAAAATTAAATTCCAGTACATGTGGAGATAGCCTTGAATCTATACAGCTAAATTGATTGTTTATTCCATTGTTTCCTATCCTATGAACAAGGCTATTCCTGTAATGAAATTTTAAGAATATAGTAAATAATGATAAACTAACCAAGACTTTACAAGCACTATGGGCTACCAGGCAAGCAGTAAAAGTCCTTGACTATAATATTCCAGGATCTGTCATAATGCAACAGGGTTCGTGCTACTCCTTGAAGTCCTTGAAAAGTCCTGGAATTGAAAACTCGTTTTCAAGGGCGCTTGRAAMCCCTTGAAAAATGGGGAACATCGCTGAAACTCCTGGAAAACTCCTTGAATCTTTGGATTGAAATGTGGCTATGTTTGAATCACCACTTGAAACGTCTGCAAACATCAAAAAATATCTTCAAAAATACTCCTAGAAAAAGGAATTRAAAAGTCCTGSAATTTTGTAGTGAAAATGTAGCAMRAACTSTGATGCAATTCCCTATAGTAACCCTTTCTKGGACTTGTCTTGTAATTATATATTTTTTTCGATGAAGCTGCAGATCAGGTTCGAGAGCAAATTTTTTCTGAGGAAGAWGATGAGTGTTCGGGATATGGTAGTGGAGGAGAGGTATTCTTTACAGGTATGTCACATAAAACATGATTTTAAGACTTGTGTGGAGTTATTTCACATGTATACAGCCCTTTTCTATCCTCCCACTTTTTACTTCAGGGATGGGAAACAGTTCTCATGTCTGTATTCTATAAGTTATAAGCTAGTGTATACATGTACATTTACATTGTATTACAAATACTAAGATAAACATAAATTATTATCAAATTATTGTATTTTATGTGCTTGTTTGGTCACTGTCACTCAAACAGAAAAGCCAGATACAAATACATAGGCTAGGTTCAAAATACCAATATTTTAGCATATACATGTAAGTGAGGCATCTCGGACACGTAAAGGTATTGAAAACATAATATTTTTATAACGAAGTGTTGTAAAGTTTGGAAATTTAAATGCAAACGTGGTCATGGTACATTATATTCCTAAGAATGACATCTAAGGACAAGTTCTTGCATTTACTAAATATTGGTTCAAACAAGAGTTAGTCCACAACATGCTCAAATAGAGAACTCCCAGCCTCTAAATACTTACTTCCTTATCAGTTTTTGCATCCTTTTATTCCTGGCTGCCTTTCTTTCATGCTAAAATATTGATATTTTGAACCTGGTCTATTTTGATGTTCATCATAATTTTTTCATTCTTTACTTTTTCATTTTCAATTCATATG